CCCCAAAACCCCAAAACCCCAAAACCCCAAAACCCCTTTTGTACTATTTAACAATGAAAGTTTTGTATAACTAATTAATATTATACAAAAAATTATGAACTTTGAACAAGAAGATCACCCTCTGAATATTTTTGCCATTTACGGTCAAAATAACCCTCATCTTTCGCAAGAAGCATGGCATTTGGAGGTAAGCTATCAATTTCTAATCGGAACTCATTGTTGTTAAAACTGAACATTTAGACTTCTTACAAAGTTAGCTTGCCTTAGTTTAAGTGGAAAATAAATTTGAGCAAATATGTGTAATAATGTTAAGTGCCCGATAATATTGCATTAAGCTAGATTTTATTCCTTTATTAAAAATTAAACTATCCTGGTGGCTTAGACGTGAAAGATTGTGCAATATTTGCTCATATCCTGACCTCTCTTATAGAAGGACCCTGAAGAATTCACTGGTTTATCCTGAAATGAGAAAAGTCTGGATGTAAAAGATGAAACTATTTTGGTAAATAATGAGATACACGATTATGCATACACAGGACTTGAAGATCGTAAAGAAGATAGAGATGAGATTAATCAATCACTAACACTTTTATCCACCCAGGAAGCAGATCTAATTTTTCATATTTTGTTAGATAATCCTCATAATTCTCAATTTGAACCAGTTTGTGCAAAATCTAAAACTAATAGTGAGATGGATCTAAGCAAGAAAACATTTATTAGGATGCTAAGACGTTTTTATTCTAAACTATTTAAAGAAGAGAATACTCTTTTGCAAAGAAAGAGGTTCAAAAATGTTGACTTTAAAATCCAACTGCAAGCATGAAAAGATTTTAACTTTAAATATTTTGATGATGCCTCAGATAATTTTGCATTTTATATGCTAAGGTTATTAGATATGAAGGCCAGAAGAAAGCCAAGCCCCCACCTTCAAAGCGAGTTTGATGCAATGACTTTAGTCCATACCACAAGATCTTTCTCAAGAGAGAGATTTAGCCATTTTCATGAATGTGAGTACTTCAGGAAGATTTTCATCTATTTGTACAAAGGTACACTTCCAAACTCAGAGAAGTTATGAATGGAGGTGTTAAAGAACAATGAATCCAAGACTATGGCTAAAGATCAGAGATCATTTCTAAATTTGTTCGAACAAATGTATCAGAGATGAATAGTTTCATAGACTCTTACCATCTCTTTAATAACTTACTCTAAGAATTTTCATGCTCCTAATCTGTGCTTGTCTGGTTCATTCTTCTCTATATTACTCTAGTGGGAATTTTGAAGTTGAATATTTATCAATTTAGAAACTCTATTCCACCGCTCGGGATGGAAGAACAAATTAGACTTACTTTTTAAAGTTTGTTAAAACTAAATCAGGAAATTCAAGAGGTGCATTTATGGAAATTTTACTTTAGATGAGCCTGTTAAAAGATGGTTGGGAATAGGATAATGGATCTGTAGGATCTGTAAATGCCCAATTAGTGATTGCATTAGTAGAAACATTTGATATTTGGAAGTTAACCTTCTGTACACCATTTTTATTAGGAAATATCTGTGTGGATACACGTAATTTATTCAGAAAGAGTGAATGAAGACTTGCGATATAGTTATAGCGCTATTCTGTTACACAGGACTATCAAGCTTTTAATTAACTTTAGGAGCGAAGTGTTATTGCTAGCATGTTTAGAACTTTGTTACTCTTCTCTTAAATAAGCCTGTATCTCTTAAAACTTCGTTACTGGCTTTTTAATCAGATATTTCAATTGAGAGATAGGTTCACCAGAAAGAAAATATTAGGTCCTACTATCTCTATTTTGACTTGGTCTCCTCCTTTACCAGCTTTTTATATCGATTCCATCTTTAAAAGGAAGCATTTTAAAGAGATAAAAATAATTTTATCGGATATTTAAAGCACTGATCTCACATGTTGGGAATAAGATTCTAATTAATTTATGAGGAAACACATATAAGCTAAATGGTTAATTAGTATGGAGACCTTTAAGAATAATTCGGCAGTAGCTAAACGTGTTGTAATATTGACTCCAGAGTAGCTTAGTTGCATCTGAATACGATATGATTTATTTATCCAGCATGAATAATTTTAGCCCTAGTGAAATAAATGACACATTTATGCTCTTGGGTATGAAAATGGTGTTTTTAAACTATTAGTTCAACTTAAAGCCATTTACGAGACCAAATATATAGGCATCAGCCTGTTTAAGGTTATTGGGTCCCATTATTCACTCTTGGCCTCCGATATTCCTCTTTCTTTTGATCAGGGTTTAATCCTCTCTGAACCCTCACCATTTTAAAAAAGATTAGTAAGAGAGAATACAGAAGAAATTTTGGCTGAAAGCTTCAGAAAGAGACTAGATTTGGAATTTGATAGGTAAGAAGAGAAAATATTAGGAAATAGGTAATAGCTATAGTTAGAGAAGTCTGCTCGTGATAATAAGGGATTGGTAAGAGAAATTATGAGAGTTTGAGAATTTTTTAACTAAGATGATGATTAGAGATGAGTGAAGCTTTAAAAACATTCTGAAAATTCAGCACAGGCTTAAACATAACTTCGATTCTTACATAATATTTTAATTTCAATGGTAACTAACCATTAAGGGGTTTTGGGGTTTTGGGGTTTTGGGGTTTTGGGGTTTTGGGG